TTGCACCTGGAGAGATTTTTATCATTATAGATGAAAAGCAAAGACTTGGCACAATTTAGTACATAGCACGTAGCTGCTGTATCTCCTTCTCTTTCATTTGTCTAAACACTTTGCTGAGCAGAACGCACATCGGCTGTGATATATTTGTTCTACTCTCTGCATGGTTGTGATTGTGTCTTGTGGCAACCTCAGCATGAAATGGTTCCAAAACGAAGTGTATTCTGAAAGCTGTCTGTGCTCTTATCTGCCCAGTGAGTGATAGCAGCTTGGAAAACAGCCTAGAGTGATGCAATGTCTCTGGGACCACTACTTCCTCAAAAATGCCAAAGGTGTAACAAAAATGGTATCAACTTGGTTCTAAACACCTTAGAAAACTTCCCCCAAGCCCATCAATGCCAGGAGCTTTCTTATTTGTATATATGGCTCTTTACCAAGGTTTGTATAATATCCTGCAAACATTTGTCAAATATCCTTATTTCTATAACACATCTCACTTTTAGCATTCTGAACCTTGGTGACTTGGGTTCTAGTGATTTTGCTTTTACATAATGTTCTGGCTAAAAGCTTAGAGCTTTTATTGCCAAATTCACAGTACATCTTAGCCTATGGATTTATGTACTGTATGAATCTCTGCAGCCAGTGGCGGAGCTTCATGCTCTGGCACCGGGGGGCGGAGAGCAGGCGGGGCTGGGGCGCATCCCGGGGGCATGGCACGCGTCCTGTGGGCGTGCCGTGCCACCTGTGGGGGCGTGCCGTCCAGAGTGGGTGGGGGGGGGCTGCCGTGATGGCACCCCACCAGGATCGCACTGCTGGGGGCAGTGTGCTCCCACTCCTCTTCCTCCGCCAGTGTTTGCAGCAACCAATTCACTTCTCTTGCTCAATAGTTTTTGGTAAATTTTAATGCTGCCAGTGTGTTTATGTTCAGCTTCTAAAATGGCAATTTCTAACAAAGGCTAGTCTCAGGCTGCTACTCAATCTTTTCAGTCTGGAAGACTCTTTAATACAAGCTCCCTTTATCACAGTCCCACAACAGTTCAATCGATGTCTCAGGAAGATGGTCAAATTGAAAGAATTCATCTAGGCCCTTTTCTAGTTGTTCCTTACTAGCCAATCAGTCAAAAGCACAGGGTGTAAGTGAAAGGAAAAAAACACTTCTATCATGATCAATCATTGACAAGGGCATAGACAATGGTGTGTGAGCTAACGTTGTGATACACCCTGTTTCTGCTGTTTCAAAGCAGCTCTTCGGTGAAGAGAAGGGGAGGACTAGATCTATATAAGACTAAATCTTTTTGCATATTGAAAACAACAACAGATAGTATCAGTTGTGAGAATGCAGAGCCTACCACATATAACAGAATGTGTGACTAGCAGTATGGTTGGACAACTTGGAGGAAGGGGATACCTTGATGCATGGGACCCAGAGACATCCCTTTGGGTATCAGGTATGATGTTTAGGTTGCCACCCATAATCACTTCACTTTCAACACCATTGTTAGAAACTGCAGTTGTCCCTCATTTGGAGCATATATAGAGCCAATAGTAAGGTGATTTGGGTCCAATGTGCCTTTAGTATCAACCTCAACAGACTGTTAATCTATCAATTGTTCGGAAAGGGCATCTCTGTGTGAGGATAACAGCAGGGCCCCTTGATTTTGAGGATCCAGGATAACAAGAATAATGCTTAATCCATTTGCATTTAAGTCAATTAATCAGTTGGGATTTCTGCAAAAAGAGGACATCTGGGTGCTCTTTACAAATCAGCAGTTCAATACATGAGTGCTTAATGACATATCCCAGGCCCTTGATGTTTAGCAAAAAGACTTAGCTTATTACCCATTTTATCGTGCACAATCCAAATTCCTTATCAAAACTTTGGGTAGCTAAGGTGATTGGATCTAATGAAGAGTCTAGACACACTGCACCATTTAAGTGGAGAACATCTCTTTGAACTGGTCCTTGAAAAGGAATATTGGCTTGGCAGGTTTCAATTAATGGAGCTATTACAGGGTTAATTTCCACAATCACAGTCCTTTGATTTTTCAGTGATTTTGACTGAAAACTCTCCAAACTGAAGTTAATCAAAGTAGCAATTGTACAAGGGACAGAAGGATCTACAAAGTGGTCATTCTTGGAGGACTGTGACTGCTTTTGGTGACTTTTGATTCATCTCTTGCTAAGTCAAAATCCTGGAATTTGTATTTGGGGTTTGAATTGAGGGTTTGGAAGTCCTGAGGTCTTGAGAAGTAAAATGAGTAAACATTTAATAGAATATTCATGAACATTGTGTGACAATTTCAGTGCTGGAGGGTGTTAGTTTATAGACTTCTCAGTAGCTTAATGTTTAAAAAGAAGAATGATATTCTAAAACCCTTCTGATCCAAATTTTGTTTTTCCAGTTGGGATCTAGCTGCAAGGCTGGTGAATCAAATGTTACAGTACATCTCTTTATATGTGGAGAAGATGGTAGAGTATGGACAGTTTTACAATTTAGTGGATGAATTCAACAATTCATTCAAATTGTATGCCATTTATTTTCCCCCTCCCACCAACTTGGCATTGCCCCATTCAGTAATGGGAAGATTTCAAAAGCCACCTGGTCTGGAATCAGAATTAAATTACATTTTGAGTCCAAGTTCTTTAATCTTCCTGTTTAATATGAATTTCTGGCAGCTGCCTAGACCTTGCAAAGAACTGCTAAACTTCTATGTACTGTCAAGGAGGTGGTTGTTTATATATTCTGGAGGTGGTAGTGCAGTAATGATATTTGGAAAGGCAATGATGGCAGCAGGAGCCACACTGGTTGGGTCTTCAGTGTAAGCATAGGCTTGCCGAAACTATTGAATTAAAGTCCAGGAGCTTGAATCCTCTAAAATAATAGTTCCTTTGAATACAAACACAGGTAAAGTAAGAGTCATTTTGCTACATGTTTTGGGAATTTCATTTATTTGACCTGCTTGATATTTAGCTTGTGGAGTTTGTGGATGGAGTTTGTCAAGGCTGTTGTCAGCTCTAGGAATCTATTTCTATTTACTAGCCATAAAAAGCTGTGTTTGGTTTTCTTCAAAGCACTTTTTTCATTGTATGAAATCAATTGCTCCAGCGCTATGTTCTCTTCACAAGTAACAAAGTAGAATCAGATTCTGTAATGTTATCCAATTTGTTTGAAAATGTCACCACTTCTCCACATTTTCCTGTCTGTCAAGAACATATTTAGCTATACAAAATTTTAAAACAAACAATTCACTACAGGCTTCGGATTGTATCCAGATAATAACTGATGGAACCATTACCCCAACCCCCATGAGTAACTTTTGGGGTGATGAGTTTAATGAGCTGAGGCAGGAAAGCCCTGCTGCATGAGAGGAATTTTACTATAAAGGGTTATTTTTATTATTATTATCCCCAGTTATGCATGCACCAGTTCTTATGAAACTTATGTGGAATTTGCCTGATTTAAAATTCATTCTTCAAACATCAGTTAACAAAAATTACCATTTTGTTTATCAGATTTTTTTATTTAAAAGTTGCAGTTCTCATTAACAAAAGATTCTGACCATCCAGGATGAATATTTTCTCTTCACCCAACTCTAGGTCATTTGGTAAAGGAGCTAAGAGGATACCATGAGTCCTAGTTCTGGAGATTCTACATATTACATGCATTCAACTGATTTCAGTGATTTTCCATATGATCATGTGTGTTTAGGAGAAGTGCCTGTATTCTGCAATTTTAACTCAGGTGGAAGTTTCTAGTTACTGCAAACCAAATACTTGTTCTGTGTGTTCAAGGAACCATCACTTCTGCACCTGTTTTCTCACTTACAGCCATGATATGATTTAGGCAACTACAGAACTATTATGACAACATTTTTTTTAGAGTTGCTCTTCAACCCAACCTTAAGTATATCCACTCAAAGGCAAGTCCCATCCAGTTTAATGGGACTTACTCTGAGGTAAGTGCATCTGATTGGAGACTAAATTGTAGTATATGCATACCATCTATCCAAATGTGAAAGGGTGATTGCCTGCATATTCAGTAGTCTTATATGTGTATAGTTTCTCTCTATGCATCAATCCGTCAGCAGATAAGTCAGTACTGAATACCATCCTTGAATATATTCCCTGTGCAGATACATGTATGCTTATTTCAAGCAGACACATCTTATGAGTCCTATAACCAGGTATCTGTCTCCACTTCTGCCTTGTATATAAACAGTATATGTTGTGTTCTGGAGTAACTTGCAAGGTGTAAGTGGAGGTTTCTGTAGCATTATGGGAAACCTTTAGAGCTAATATGCAGAATTTAAGTGTCAGAATCGCAGCACTGATGCATTCAAAATGAGCTGGGGACTCAACACTTTTCAACACTTCAGAAGAGATGTTCACCATTAAAGAAAATGGGGTCCTAACAAAAGGGCAATTGAGCAGGGTGCCTATTAGCTCTATTTCATGTTCAGGTTGGTGAAACAACAACAGTATCTGATGTAGCAAATTAAACTTGTAAGAGGACTGTTAATTATGCTTCCTTTTGAGCCTCTGTAATTGCTACATGGAAGCATTTCGTTGCATTACAATTTCGCCCTGACAACTGCTGCATTGTAATTGCAAGCTGTCATACCTGGATGCAATAGGCTGTTCAGAGGTATGTGTGGAGCTTGTCTGTCTCAATCTCCTTACTTAAGAAAAAATAGTGTTTTGTTGGTGCATGAAGCAAAAGCCAGGCTCTTGTGGATGGGGATGGGAAAAGTAATTTAGGAAATTTCAAAAGCTACTTACGTAATTGTTTTTAACATGTAGATGTGAATACGTTGCCATGCAAGTAGTTTTTGGCAAGAACTTTTAACCTTAGTTAGAACTCTGTTGATCATGCCCTCTGCTCCTGTGCCCTTATTATTTGCAATAAGACTTTGATGTCAAAAGGAACATTAGCTAATTATGGGAGGCACAATCTTGCTCCTTGTCTTTTGAGCTCTCTGAAGACATGTTTTTGAAAAAGTGACATAGCTTTTCTTAATCAAGCAGAGAAATGGCTGAGACACAGGGTGCTACCAGTAAGATGGCATGAACTTTAATTTTTTCCTCTGCTTTGGCCAAACCACAACCAGTCTCATTTGCAGACAGTGTATTTTGTGTGTAGCCATCTTGGGTGAGAAAAATGGGGAGAGGACAGACCAGGAATGATTGGTCAGGAAGCTCTTGTATACAAGCAGAGTGCTGCCTAGCATGCTACTTGAAATAGTTGGGCTGCACACCCATGATGTGTAGTGGTGTTATTCAGCAGTGAAAAGGCTGTATTTAATCCACCGTAATCTCAAAGCAAATGGGAAAACTCAATTTTAGTTTTTATTCTTCGCATTCATCAGTTCTTTTCACTGATGATATTCTTTAGCAGTTTGGTTTACATAAGTTGGAAGTTACTTTTGTGTGAACAGTAGAATTCATAGGGACCAGATCCAGCTTGCAGTGGAATTGATTTGTGTGCTGTGAGAAGTTGGCACACGTATTTGTGTTCCACAGTGGCATCGCAAGGGGGGGCAGGTCAACCCTGGTGTCATGTTTGGGGTGTGTGTGACAAGAAGGCACCCCGTCGGGTGCTCGCTCTGCCACCCTGGGTGCAAGCAGCCATCATGCCACTGCAGCTGCATGTGGAGGATCCTCCGTTTGCGGCTGCAACCACGAGCAGAGGATCCTGCCACCATCCGTATGGCGTTCGAGCGGCGCCAGCGGCAAACCGCTATGTACAATGCATGTGTGGTGTCGCATGCATGCGCTGTACGTAGCGACACCGCACATGCACCCCCTGTAGTGATGCCACACATGCGTCGTACGTAGCGGCACAATGCATGCACAGATGGCGGTTTGCCCTGCCCCAGGTGTCGGTTAGCCTTCGTTCGCCCCTGGTGTTCCATTCTGAATCTTCTTTGCTTCTAGAAAAATCTGTGATCTGAACATTCCAAATTTTAATTGAGGGGGAGGGGATCAAAAAGTTTGGTTTATGAAGCTCTAATCTGAGTTCAGTTTTGATAAGGGAGTCTTCCCTCAAACAGTATCAAAATAGCAGTTATGTGCTTTACCATGGACTAAGTTATGGGTACCCAACATAGTGCCTTCCAGATGATGTTGAACTCCAAATCCCATCAGTCACAGCCAGCAAAGCCAATGTTAAGGGATGATGGGAGTTGGAGCCCAACAACTTCTGTGAGCATCATGTTTGCTAACACTGGGCTAAAGGAAAAGCATTGATGGAATGGTTACAGCCTTGGCCTTGCATTGCCTAGTCTTGTGCTAAACAGATCACGTGAACTTAGCTATTTTTTCCCTTTTCTTGGAAGGGAAGGTCCTTTTATTCTTAAGTTTTGGGGTGTACCTTACAAGCTAGTATCAGAGAAAATGAATACATTGATTCAGTAGGGGGAGCTCTTGCTATTATTTCTAAATAGGAAGAGGCACTGGAGTCCTTCAGTGGGAAAAAATATTGATATGTACAGATTTCCTTAGCTGTGAAAGTGATATAAATCTCTCACATTATTAGAAATATCTGCTAGAATGGATATTATTTAAGCACAGGGTTAATAAAGATGTTATACAGGTATGCTCACACACATGTATCTAAAATGTAAAGTTTAGATGTACTAGGCCCTGCAGCAAATTTTGGGTAAATAAAAATATTTTGATTGTGCTGTTAGGAAAAAGTTGCATATAGTAGTTGCATATAGTAAGGGGCGACACCTCCCTTTTTTGTATGGTAGAATGGAAGCAAATATGAAAACCTATTATGGTCTCTCGGTGCATATCTCTCTTGAAATGACATGCAGATAGGAGTTGTGCATCTTAGGCTGTAAATAAGTTTAATGATTTCCTGCTGCAATTCTGTAAATGCTGAGTCAGTGGGAGACAGGATCCAATTGGAAGCACAAGCCATTGTAAGGTAATGGCAATATCTTGTTTGACTGAGTTGCTTTTTATTGTTGGATGTAGAGACATTTCCTGGCATCAGCTCTTTCAGTTGGAGGTGCAGACATTTCCTGGCACCAGATTTTGTAGGAACTTGAACAAGATAGATCTGCTTCCTTTCCGCCTATATATCTTTGGACACTCAGTGATTATCATGGTGATGGTGAGCTCCTGCTGGCCACTTACCTGTTTTACAATCTCAGTGGCTGAGTATCCAGCCTTGGCAGCCAGTAATAATAATTTAATAATTTATTATTTGTACTCCACCCATCTGACTCTGTTGCCCCAGCCACTCTGGGCGGCTTCCAGCATATATAAAAACATAGTAAAACATTAAACTTTAAAAAGCTTCCCTATACAGGGCTGCCTTCAGATGTATCCTAAATGTTATATAATAAATTATGAAATGTGGGCATGTTAAAGGGCATGTGTAGAAAAGGCTGAGCCTTGGGGAAGGGCTTTAGCTTAGAGGTAGAGCATCTTCGCAGGCAGAAGAGGATCCAATCCCTGGCATCTCTAGATAGGACTGAGAGAAAATCCTGTCAGAAATCCGGGAAAGCTGCTGCCAGTCAGTGTAGAAAATCCTGAGCTAAATGGATCAGTGATGCAACTCAGTAGAAGGCAGTTTCCTATGTTCCAATGCAAGCAGGAATCGAGCAGGAAGAGAAAACAGTATCTCATGCATTGAAGGGATATTTACTGAGATGACCTTTCACCTGCACCATCTTTTTGCAGTTGCCATAGGACATATTGGCAGGCACACTGGAGCCCACAGGCCCCATGCTGCCAATCCCTGATCTATAGGCATTTCACTCTAGCTTTCTCTTTCAAATATTTGTGTAGAGAGTGTGAGCACTTTGGGCCCATGTAACTCATCACCTGGCTTTTTAGTGTTTGACAACTACATACCTTCTATATTATTATTTATCAAATGTATATTCCATACTTCTTCTCAAAGGAGCCTAGGGTAGCATTAGCATACAAAGGAATCAAAAGATGGAGAGGGTAGAGGGGGCAGATGTTATATGCGGCCTTCAACAACTCCACTTGCCATGGCAAGTGTGATGAGTGCCAAGCCTTTCTATCACATCTGGAGCTGCAAAGGAAGGCAGGATTCATCTTAGCTGTGACACAGTAATTGAAACAAGGGCATCTCGACTCTCTTGGGTGCTACCATGCAAAAGCACTTGGGGTGTCTTTAAGCAGCAGCGTGCAAGGTAGTTTGCTTCTCTGGTTCAGAGATGGCTGAGTGGGGTGGGGGCTTGCCAGGTGGGAGGCTGTTGACTGCAATTTTCAGCCAGCAAAGCCAGTCAATTTGTAGACTGCTATTTAATCGTCGTCGTTCTAAAAAAGTGGAGGGTGGACTTCAACATGTTAAAGAAAAAATGCTGTAGTGATCAGCATGGTATGAATAGTATGACTGAAATTCCTGCTAATTCTGTTGTCAGCTTTGCCTTCTGCTACTTGTTAATATACATGTTACTACCAAATGGAGCGCTGTGAAAAGAAGAGGGAAAGAACTCATAGGCAATTTTATTAGAATTACTGAATATGATTATATTCAAAATTAAGTGAATTATTTGTTAATTAACTTAATATTGACTTCCATGTACTTATAATATACTTAATGATAATGACCCAAAGAGTGATAGTTTGTGCGTAAACATTTCTAGTACCCGAACTGAACAATTAACTTACTAAGTAGTAAAAGAGAGTTGTGTGTTTAGCTACAGATGAATTATTTATAAAAGAATATGTTGTTAGAATCTGCCAGCTAGTATGAACTGGCCCTTAAGTAGGCATTAATATCCATCCAAGTGTGTGTCGTCAAAACTGTGTATACCTGATGGGAAACTGTAGACTCCTGGTTTACCATAAGAAGAAGCCTCTCAATTTGACAGGGGAAATGCATTATCCCATTTCATTGCAATATTTCTGCAATATGGATGTGCAGTGTCATTTCTGCACTGTTCCTGGGATTCAAGTGTTACATATGGATTGGACCAATGTGTGGTCCCATCATCTGCTGCCAGCCTTACCTGCATCCTTCATCTAAATCCCTTGCTTAATCTCCTTGAGCTAAGGATGAAGTGCCTATCCAGCTAAAGCTTTCTTCCCACTTATTCAACAAGGCCTCTCTTTGCTTGCTCATGCAATTGCATGTCTATGCATATCTTTCAGCACGACTGGCTGCAATCTGTCTAGATTACCCTGTTCTAGCATCCCGGGGACTGCATCATTTGTCAAAGGGTGAGCAGGAAAATGTCAACGAACAATGCCCATGATATCGAGGAGCATCCTATGAACATTGGTGCATGCTGTCATTACAGAAGGAAAATAGATGCATCTGTTACAGGAGCACGAGAGAGTGTGTGCACGCAGAAGATGAAAGGCTAATGAGTTGTCGGCGATGTCGGTTAAGTCCATATAAAATGCTACTGCAGAAGTTGCAGTTGTAATAAATGTCGGGAAGGGTTTGCAGTGACACCGGCTACTCTGCAAATATAGTGGGTGCTTTAAAACTAAATGTATATGGACTAACTCGCAAGGCTGTGAGTCAAGCTTTATTTAGAGCAGAGGTGGTGCACTTGATGTTGGGTTGAGCTCCAATTATTCCTGACAATTGGCTATGCTAGCTGAGACTGATGGTAGTTGGAGGCTGATGACATCTTGAGGACCATAGGCTGCCCACCCTTGCTTTAGTGCTTGCCTGTAGCACTTGTGAATCACCAAGCCACATACAACCCACCAGCCTGTTTTTGCAGCAACACCCACTCTTGTTTGCAGCAACACCCACTCTTGTTTTTGCAGTCCCAGGCAGGCAACAAAACCATATACTTATCATCCCCACAGTGTGCTTATGTGTGCACATGGGGCGGGCAGGCGGGCTATATACATCACAAGATTTGGAGGCTTAATTTGGAGATTTATCTTTAATAAGATTTAGAGTGGGCAGATGGGGGATCCTGTGGCCCTCCATGTTGTTGGACTCCAATTCCCATCAGCCCCAGCCAACATGGCCATTTCCGGGGTGATAGGAGTTGTTGTTCAGGAACATCTGGAAGGCTACAGGTTCCCTGCCCCTGGTTTAGAGAATTCAAATATTGTGTAAACCCTGAATATATCAATATATTTGCAGAAGCATTCCATTAGAGGTAATGAACTGTGTTATGCAAGTCATAGCTCATATACTTTTGTCATATTTGCCACTGTGATAAAAGTTCACTCCTTTTATGGGTGAAGAACTGAGGCTGAGAATCTGTGACTAGCCTGTTGAGTCCAAGCCCTGTAAGAACAATTTAGAATTGACCAGCCTTCTGAGAAATGGGTGGGCTGGGTTTTTTTTACCCAACTCATTAGAATTGTGGGATCAATTCAAACCAAATTCTTTTGTACCAAGAGGTGGGTGGAGGAGTGATTAAATAATGACCTAGCTACACACTCTATGCTTACCTCGTGAAAAGGAGCCTGGACTTGATAAGATTCTGAAGTCTCCATGCCAACAGCAAAGATGATTGAAGGTGGAGGAGATTGAAATCGATTGGGATGCTGGCTGTGTCCTTTCCTTCTTTTCCTCCCTGTTATTCTCTCTGCTGCTAATTTTCCCTACCACAAGGATGGGGAACATGTGGCATTCCAGCTGTTGCTGGGCTCCAACTTCCACCATCCCTAATCATTAGCCATGCTGGCTGGGGCCAATGGGAGCTGGTTCAAATGCCACACATTTCCCATCACTGCCCAGCAGTTGGATGAAGGACGAACAGAGGAAGCAAAGAAGAGAAGCAGCAAGAGATAGCTGTTCTGCAGGGGCTCCTTTTAGGTGCCATGTCTGTCTTTACTCTTACTTTCTTTGCCTGTCAGCAGGAAGCCTTCGGAATTCTTAACCTTGGATCCTGCTTACTTGTCACATCATCATCATCATCATCATCATTATTATTAAATTGATATACAGCTTAATTGCCAAGGCGGCTTCCAAGCAGTTTACAAGGATAAAACCTTTAAAACGAACAGAAAACCCAGACACATTTCATCAAAATACACAATAAAAGTGTTCCATCAAAACAGTAAAATAAACATCCAGAATTAAAATGTGCAACAACACAACACAAAAGTGTATAGTTAGAATCTTATGTTTGCCACAAACAGAACAGAGAGTCCTGTAAGCAATTGTTCTATATCACATTCTGTTTCAGAAGGCCAAAAGCAAAACAAGCCACCCAGGATTGCAGCCCAAATCTCACTGGGAGAAAAAAAAAAAAAGTCAATTCCTGATCTTAGATTTTGTAAATAGTTTGATCCAAAGGCGTTTGCCAAGTTCATGGAGGTTCCTTCCTTCCTTGTTTTACACCTGGTTTATGGAGCTGTAGGACTGTGAGTTGTTTTTCTTTTTGTACCTGTAAGGCTGCAATTGTATGTTGCTCGTGGCCTCTTGGCCAAGCAGCTAATCAACTGCACAGCTGAAGAAAAGTGGAAGAAAAACACCTTGAGCAGAAAAGATTGGATGGATGGGAGAGATGCAACAGCAGTTTACTTTACTTGATATCTGTAAGGGAGCACAGAAATATAATTCAGTGAAACTAGGCACAATATTTTAATTATTTAGCCATTTCTATACCACTTTCCACCCAAAGTAGACATAGAGCAGCTTGCAACAAAAGCACAACAAAAATAAATCAAGATGACAAGTAACCTGTTGAGTTGGGGGTCAGCTTGATCAGGCAGTTGGTATCAGAGAAATGGTGATATTGCCTGGGAAACAGCTGCCTGCATCATGTAGCATTGCTGCTGAATTGTGCAATGAATTCTCACTTGGGAGAAGGTTGAGCAGTGGTTCTCTTACAGGTTGCATGATAATCCAACAGGCTGCTTTACAACAGTCCTCTCAGAGGATTAATTACTGTTGACAAACTTGATTCATAGTATTGCATGTGCTTCTGAACCCTGCTTTAAATCTTTTAGCTTAAAGGTATGTTTGTGGTGGGGAGGCCACCATCAAGCATTGTCTGTGATCAGAGTGCTATCCCTGTGTTTCATTGCATTTAATTCAGAAAGACAGGCATGCAATTAACCCACAGTTAGTTCCACAATCCACAGTCAACAAAAAGGTTCTCCGATCTGCCGAGCGACTTGAAACCCAAAGGGAGACAAATCACATTTAGTAGTTAATTAATAGATTAGTATGTTTGCTAAAGGTGGGCAGGGTCAGAATTCAATCTAATATATTGTGTTGGAGGCAGGTCAAAAGAATTTGTTCATAGCACCTTGTGCAAAGGAAGTTCCCAAATAAGATATATACAAAAATCAATCAAGGCACTGATTATTTTTTAAAAAAAGAAACCAGGTGAGAGTCATTAAAACCACCAAATATGCAGCAGGTGCCATGGGAAGTGTCCTAGCACTTTTCTGACTACAGTCAAGAAGACTCTCCCCAGCTTTTGCTCTGCAAGGGAATGCTCCCTTGAAAGCTGAAGGCAGTCTTCTTGGGTTACCTTTTTATTATTGGATGATGCAGCTCCTGGCTTGCCTATGATTGTATTCAAGAACGCGTGTCCACCTTTGTGCTGCTTTGAGAGATAGATATCATAGCACAAGGTATCCCTTCCTGCTTCCCACTTTGTAGAGTAGAGGGTTGGCAGGGAACAGCTGAGCAGTGGAGAAAAGGAGGCTGCAGTCACACACTCTTTTCTGAGCTACTCAGCTGGTTGGTGGGAGGGGTCAACTTACATTGCATAAAATTAGACAGCTGCAGCTAGTTTGGTCAATGGATTAATCACATTTGAACTAGAGACAAAAACAAAAAGGGTATGAAACAAAGAGAGAATATGTTCTTTCTCTGGAGAATGTATACAGTCCTGCTGCATGCATAGGATGCTGACAAGGATTGGGTATCAGATGACTTCGATTCTATAGGCACTATTCCGTTGTACAGTGTGGTGGGTATCCATCCCCTGTGTGTAGTGGCGGTGCGGAATGAAACTCTTTCATAGCTGCTTACAAAGAAAAAGAAAAGTAGTTTAGAGATGCTACATTTTAGCAATTAACTCCGCATCCTTTCGGCCCCTCTTCCCCTTTAGGGGGTTCCAACACTACATCTAAATGATGACCTGCAACACTGAGCCATTCACACTCTCCTGTGTTCAAAGGCTATGACCTACTTGAGCGTTGATGCTGGAAGCTAACCTTAACACCTACTCTTAATGAATAGTCAGTTCCATTTATCACCCCCCAAATGCTGGCATTCCCTAGACAGACAGGCAAGAAATGCTGTAGGGAAGTGATGGTGCTATTCACACTTAAATATCCCAGTTCATTGTGTGACTAAGATTCTCTCCCTTTCTCTCCCTATTCTTTTATTTTTATATTCAAAGTTTAGGGCACTAAACTTGGTCCTCCGGCAGTTACATTATGAAGTAATGTAGCCTCTCTGCTGAGCAGGTTTATAGCAAAGGCTATATCTGGTCTGCTCCATTGGGAAAGATATAGCAGACTCCCTAGAGCTGACTGAAAAATTTCGGGTTTCTCAAACTCAGACCTTTCCCCGAACTGACTGTCTTTCATGAAGTTCGTCTCCATGGGTGTTCTAACACCTGCACACTCTGACATTCTGAACTTCTCAAGTAACTGCTCAATTTTGCCTTTCTGACTGAGTTAGAAACTGCTGTCCTCAGTTCTATCAATCTGTACACCTAGGTACACCTTTACCGGTCTTAAGTTCTTGAGCTTAAAGTGACTTCCAAGCTCCTTGGCAAACTCTTGCACTTGTTTCTGAGTCATTGCCAGGTGGATGATGTCATCAATGGACACCAAAACCAGCTCCTGTGCTCCTGTTTCTCTCCAGACCCTTTAAGGTACAGGCACCTGTCAGCAAGACTCTTCCGGAAACCCATGCTTTTCAAAGCATCATTCAGGCACATGTTCTAATTTCTGGCTGACTGCTTTAGGCCATAGATGGACTTGTGTAGTTTCCACACTTGATTTGGCTTTTTGCCTTCGAACCCTGGAGGAGGTAGCATGTACAAATCCTCCTTTAGATCCAAGTTCAAATAAGCAACATCCATGTCAAAGTGACATACCTCTAAACCTCTCTGGGCAGCAATTGCTAACATCATGTGTAGTGTTTCACTTTTGGAGGTTGGCGCATGCACCTCTGCATAATGCACCCCTTTCCTCTGTGTGAAACCTCTCGCTACCAGTCTTGCCTTGTACTGTGGCTGTCGAGTCACTGTGGGCTTGACCCTGTACACCCAACGACAACTCACTGCCTGTTTTCCTTCTGGCAGTGTTGTGGTGGAGAAAAATGCCATTTACTGGCTTCTTCCTGAGGTAATTGCAGAACCTCCTCAAAGCTTTCTGGCTCACATTGAGCCAAACCAATCCACACACTAGTGGCTGAAAACCTTTCGGGAGGTTTTCCTTTTGTCGTGCGAGCAGAACATCTTAGCACTGCTTCAGACACTGCCTCTGACTCAGATGTACTGGGTGCAGCCTGTGTTTCCTTGACCTCAGAAGACTCTCTCTCTGATTTACTGCACCTTCTTTGCCCCACAGGCCTGACTTTGGGAGTTGTGGGTTCACTCTTAGCCTCTTGCTTCACTGCCTTAGGAGATGCCCTCTCTAGTTCAGATACCTGATCGTGGTCTGGCTCTCCAGCAGATGCGGGTGCTAGCTCCTCCTCTCCAGCAGCGTTAACAGAAACCTCTGAGAGAATGTCAGGATTTCCGTGGATGTGTGTCCACCCATTTTGCTCACAAAACTCAGCACTCCTGCTGACTAGAATCTGTGACTGGTTGCCTTCTGGGTAGGCAAACCTTCACCCCTTTGTCCCTGGTTCGTACCCACAAAAAATTGAATTGAATCAATCAATCTTTATTACGGTCCAGAGACCCAACAAATCGTTACAAAGCAATGCATAATTCAGACAGCCTACCTCCAGGTTAAACAAGCATTTTGTTCAGACTTAAAGGTAGGGATCATTAGTTCTTGCAACCACCGATAAAAATTTCGCCACTGCTAATGTTCTAGCATTTGTCTGGTCTTCCAATAGGAACCTGACATAGTGAGCCTTTGATTTTCCCTGGAATGGTACCAGCAAGGGTAATATCAGTTCAGCCCTGGCTTGCTCATATTTTGCACAGTACAGCAAAATATGTTTTATAGAATCGATGCCTTGAGCACATGAGCAAAGTCTGTCCTGGTAGGGAACTCCTCTCAACCTGCCATCCAACACTGCAGAAGGAAAGATAATTTGGTACTGTCAGGTTTTTAATGTAAGGTGTTACCTTAAAGGCATGCCCATATTGTACTCCTACTGCCAACGGACTACAGACTGCGTGTGATTGAGATCGCAAGTCACTGTGTGTATTATCCCATAATCTTTGCTTTTGTGTCTTTAGGGTACCTTTATAACCCAGGTAATAAAGTTGGGGGGGGGTGAGAGACCAATAGAGGTGGCTTTTCTAGCCATGGTTTTCTGCCATTTGCTGACAAACTCCTCGTTGGTCAGGTGTTGGTACAAATCCTTCCCTAGATCAAACACTAAAATCCTGAGCCGATGTTTTAGTGCAGCCCACCATGCTTTAGTTGAAATTGGGCATTCACCAGCTTCTAACAGAAGTATGGAGTTGGGAACACAGTTGGGTGCCTGCAGCAGAGATGGTAGAAATTTTGCCTGAAAGCCATCTAGCTTAGGCAGATCCCCATTATGCCAGACATTTGCAGCGTACAGGAGTTGGGAAACGGATTTTGCGTTGAAAACCCTTAAGGCTGCTGGAACATACTTGCCGCCCTTTGTGAAAAAGAATCTGAGTATGGCTAGCTTTGTGATCTTCGCCTTTTGAAGGGAGGTTTGCCAGTGGTGCTTCCAAGATCCTGTATGATGGAATGTGAGCCCTAGGTAACTGAAGTATTTGATCTGTTCAAGGTTATGGCCATCCAGCACCCATTTAGACCGGGAGAAGCTTCTTTCGAAAACTAAAATTTTAGATTTTTCATAATTAATGGATAAACCATTAGCACAACAGTAATCAGAAAACTTCCTCAGCAGATATTTCAAACCCGA